GGGCAGTAGTTCCATTTTACAGGGGAGAAAATGGAGATTTAGAGGCACTAAGCAATTAGTCCAAGGTCACACAGTAGTGAAAGGGCTTTGAACCCAGTCTCCCGTACTTCTGGGTTCTGCTTTTTAAACAGCTAAGCTATAATTTTAGAAATCAGATGTCAGTTTAGTAAATAAGACATAAAATTGATTCTCTGAAAGGACCAATAAAAGCAAGAAAGCAGAAACAATTCCAATGAAGACAAAAAAGAAAGAATATAAATGTACAACATTAAGAATGGGAAAGGCATACAGCCACAAATACAGAGAAGACGGAAGAAATTAGAAAAAGATTCTAATTACAGTTTTATGCAAATAATGTGGAAATCTAGATGAAATAAATGATTTTCAAGGAAAACATAAACAAAACTTAACACCAGAAAACTATACATAAATGGAAAAGGTTGTAAAAGATCTGAACCCCATCCTTGCAAAGCGAGATTCTAATTAAACCTTCAAAAAACAAGTAATTCCTAAATTATTCAAACTGCTTGAAGGTATAGAAAAAGTTTAAAGTTATAGAAGAAGTTGAAAGTTTCCAAAATTACTTTACTGGGCTCCGTTTTACTGGGGACCCTGATACAAGCAACTAGCAAATGTAGTGTTCTTAAGAGAGGCGGGCTCTGGCCAGTGTAGCTCAGTTGGTTGGGTGTCGTCCCATGCACGGAAAGGTTTCAGGTCTGGTTTCCCATCAGGGCACATGCCCCAGATTTGCGCTCACACTGATGTTTCTCTCTCTCCCTCTCCCTTCTCTCTCTCTCTCTCAAAAAAAAAAAACAAATTATCATTCTTTTTATACTAGAACTGTGAAACCTGTGGCTAAACTATAAAACCTATCATATATATATTAATTATTGATTTTTTACAGAGAAGAAGGGAGAGGGATAGAGAGCTAGAAACATCTATGAGAGAGAAACATTGATCAGCTGCCTCCTGCACACTCCCTACTGGGGACGTGCCCGCAACCAAGGTACATGCCCTTGACCGGAATCGAACCTGGGACCCTTCAGTCCGCAGGCCGACGCTCTATCCAGTGAGCCAAACCGGTTATGGCAATGACCTATTCTTAAAAAAATAAAAAAGAAGACAGGTGGGTCTCAGGTAGACATCACAGATCTACACCTCCCACCCATGTGAACTTGGCTATATAATTGGGCATCTCCAAACCTGAGTTCCTTCTCTTCCTTCCTTCCTTCCTTCTTCCCTTCCTTCCTTCCTTCCTTCCTTCCTTCCTTCCTTCCTTCCGTCCTTCCTTCCTTCTTTACTTTCCTTTTATTGAGTTTATTGCATCTGGCCAGTGTGGCTCAGTTGGTTGGGTGTCGTCCCATGCACGGAAAGGTTTCAGGTTCGGTTTCCCATCAGGGCACATGCTCCAGTTTTGCGTTGGGTCCCCAGTAGTGGGTATGCAGTTGGCAGATGATCATTTCTGTAGTTGAACAGAGTGAGGCTAAAGTTTTAGTTTTCCCACTTATTGCCTATGTGGCCTTGGGAAAGGTACCTAATCTCTTCGAGCCTCAGTTTCTTTATCTGTAAAATGATGGTGATAAGACGACCTGTCTTACAGGATTATTGTGCCATTGTGATAGCCCATATAAAGTGCTTACAACATGTTAGCTGTAATTAAAAAAATAAAATTGTAAACTTGTTCCACTTAGCTGCAACAATCTTACAAATATATCATTAGGTCCTGACTGTTTTGGCTCAGTGGATAGAGCGTCGGCCTGCGGACTCAAGGGTCCCAGGTTCAATTCCAGTCAAGGGCATGTACCTTGGTTTCGGGCACGTCCCCAGTGGGGAGTGTGCAGGAGGAAGCTGATCAATGTTTCTCTCTCATCGATGTTTCTAACTTTCTATCCCTCTCCCT